ATATTCAAAATTGAGTTTTAAAAAAAAAGTTTAACCATAGATAACTGTTTAAACGTAACTAAAAATTTTCAAACATTATGCCATGTCTGGTCTCCATTTAATTTATTCTGATTTCTTGCGAGTCTAATTTTATTATTGTTTGTATAGAAATGGGCATGTATGCCTAATATTAAAACTGTATTTTCGCAAATAAAAGAAAATCAACGATTACATATTAATATATTATTGTGTATTTAAAGAAAACAGTTTTATATTACTTTTTTAATTACATTGTAAATATTATACAGCGGTGATTGAAGAGAGATAGTRATTAATAGAGATCATACTCAAGAGTAATTCTACAGCTGATGTCTGGTCAGTATAGCATGATGTGGAATGTGCTTTAAATTGCAATAATTTATTATTCATCATTGGGAAAAAGCGTTTCGTTTTGTTTTCCCCATTCGTGAAATACGGAATTTGTGTCTATGCTCTATGTTCTCGGTAGGTATATATATACATATATAGTTACCTGCGTCACTTGTCTCATATTTCTACACAAGTTAAGTCAATACATCGCTGTTTCGTTAACATGACTTTACTTTACTAGCCTATATGGTACACAATATATCGTTGTACCTGTAATAAAGTGTACATAAAACATATATAAATATAATTGTGCAAACGAACGGCGTAGGTAGATACACGTGTATTTAATTACAAACATAATGTGTTAWATATATAATATTATGTTGCAATAGTATTGGAAATCGTAAATGAAAATTAAAAATAATCACTATTTCGTCATCACAATTCTCGAATAGCCATCCGTGTAAATCGGTTTGTAAGTATTCAGAAATAATAATATGTTAAATATTATATGGTTTCGATATTTTGCTACTTAAATCGTTTGAAATTATTAAATGTTTTTTCCATATTTAAACATATAAATAGTAAAATACATGTTTAAAATAGTAATTTTTGAGCAAATCGTCCATGCACAAATAGTAATACCTAATAATACAGTGCAATACAATGATTAACGCTAAAAAATATAATTTTAAATATGCATGGATTATTTGGCCATTAGTCGCTTCCAAGAACTAGTGCGCGTCTCTGTACATAATATATATTATAATAATACAGGTATATAACTGTAGTTTGGAAATCAAATATCGACAGTGCACAATTAACGAGCACCTATCAAGTATATTATGATTGGTAAAATGTTACAACGTTGACCTAGAAAACACGATTAAATTGTTTATCTAAATATTATTAATTATAATACGTAAATGACGATCTGCAGTTATAACGAGAACCAATATTTTTTACTATACATTGTTAGGCAAATTATTATTTTTGAAAATATTGATCTATAAGATTTGAATATTAGTTTCTCGGATTTGTTAAAATGTACCTATATATTACGGATAATAATAATAATAATAACAATAAAAATAATAGCCTTTAAAATGGTTTTACAAAAATATAAAATATATATAATATTGGTCATTGGATAATGTATTTGGAATATTTATAATTTTAATGATGCTAAGAAAATATTTTAAAAATCATAAAACGTTGATAGATATAACAAAGGCAAAAAGGTAAAAAGGAGAATTTTTATCTAGGACTAAGAGGAACATTCTTGGTAAATACATTATAATGACTCGGAAAGTCATAAATCACTAATCTATTTAGACCATCGTTTCTTAAACTTTTTTATCCATGGAACCTTTTTTGATGTCCACTTTTATCGTGGATCCCCTACTTTTTTAGCTTTYTACCTTTTTTTAGGATTATTTGCAAATTAATTATAATATTAAGTAGAAAAGTATAGATTATTGAATATAGAGTTAGTTGATAAATTATTCCATATGGCTTATATATTATTCTTTAATATACAAGTATTATTTTCCACAATGGATATTTTAAAGTAATTTTCTCGAACATTTAAAAAAAATTACTTAAGCTTCACGGAACCCCGAAGTGATGTACGCGGAACACAGTTTAAGAAACACTGATTTAGACCAATTTTTTGCTTAACAGCTTACACTCTTACAGTATAGTTACAGTAATAAAGAACGGTTTTTGTTTGAAAAAACGAAGTTTGTATCGCCGCTAGTCACTACACTACGTAAATGATATAAAAGTTCAAAATATTTATTATGTAAGGAATCCTAGTATGGAATGTGCCATGTGCGAAAATAAAACGCGTTTAAAATATAATTTTCTTCAACTCCATTGCAGACTCCTCGCGTAGGTATAATATATAATAATGGTTTTTTTGACCGACAGTAATATGATTATATCGCGTATATGCCTACTCATAACAATCGGAAAATATAATATCATAATTATTTATAATACTACTTTTATGACCAGCCTGCTCGACATAATGTAATATAACAATATTATATATCTGCAGGCGGCGGCGGCCCAAGGACGCGTACTCGTAAATCTTTTCTTCTCTCGTCGTTTTTTCCGCTAGATGTGACGACGAGGTCCCCGAAAGAAAAAAATTCCCCATTACTACATCCATTGTGAAAATTGAAAACAGCGGACGACTGCCAACTACGACTGTTGTACATCGTGCGTCGTGCACGCAGCACGTTTTTGGCCGCGCGAATTCACCTAACCCACAACCGTATACTATATACTTTTCTGCCGCTTATTGGAGGGCGAGCGCGTGAACAATATAAAAAACGTATACCTTTATTATAATAATATGTCTTCTGTACATAATGATAATATCATTTCAAGTACGGCGCGGGCCGGGAAAGTAAGTTCGGGAGGGTACTCAATGCATAATCATTGAATAACGACATTATCATTATTATATATTATGCGCATAATGTAATTTTGATAATGGCGCAGGTCAGGTTTACTATATTTTTATATCGGATTATAATATGACATTATTATTATTATTATTATTATCATTACTTGTATGGAAGGTCCCGGCAGACTTCTATTGATGACGATAATGGGCTTCGCTACGCCGTCGGCCGGCACACAGTCTGGTCTGTAACAATCGGTAATGTTGTACGGACAGTCGTAGCACGCCTTGCTCATTGTGTAGTACCATTCCACTTTGAAACGGTACTCGCACGTTTTGGGCGGTTCGCCTACGTGACATTCTCTCTGGCAAGGATGGACGGCGTAGTCCTGTGCGCGTTCGTGATGCGCTTTTGCGGCGCTCGTCAGACGCAGGACCGCGGTCGTAAAGCACCAGTAGTAAAACAGTACGATGGTGGTGCACTGTGCTCTCATTTTTCTTCCGTTTTCATCTCATGTGCAAAAAAAAATATTTCACCGGTAAAACGGCGACGTATGAACGATAAACTCCTCAGGATAGGATTTTATGCGTCTGAAAAACATAAACATACATATATTATTATTATTTACAC